CTTGAGTGAATTGGAGTCGAGTTGAATTTAGCTGAGTTGAGTCAAGTCAAGTCAAAATGATTCTAATCGAATGCAGTGGATTAGAGTCGAATGTATGAGAGTTGATTGAATTTTATTCGATTCGAGTGGAGTGAAGTGAAGTGGATTGTAGTGGAATGGAATGGATTCAAGTGTACTCGAGTAGAATTGAGTAAAGTTGAGTAGAGTGAAATTTCGTTGAGTTGAGTTGAGTCAACTCGAATCGATTCTAGCCGAATGGAGTGGAGTAGAGTGGAGTGGATGTCACTTGACTGGATTCGATTCGATTCGAGTGCAGTGGAGTGGATTGGAGTGGAGTGGAGTGGAGTGGAGTCTAGTAAAGTGGACTGTTAACCTGCCCAAGCTACCCACGTCCCGAATGCTAATCCGGTTGGGGCTGCCGATGCTGGAGCCTGGCGTCGAGTGGCAATCGTCGGATTATGAGCCAAACTGCACCACTCGTGCTTACCTCACTTTGCACCAGCCGGGCAGACTCGGTTCGTATTCAAGCGCCGCTGCCAGTCTCCAGACCAGTGTCCTACGCGGCAGAACATGAGGTCTGATTTTAAAATGTCTCCACTCGATCGATTGTCCAGCCTCCATTCTGCGGACGCCTCGTCAGGAGCCGACTGCCACTGCTCCTCCATGCCTGCATGACGGGCCTGCTGCTGCATGTTGAGGCGGCCAAGCGATGAAGTCGACCAAGTCCAACCCGGACAGTTATGATCCGTCCAACGAAAGCATCTCCGAGTTTATTGTCAACAAAGAGTGGAAGCTGATCAAGAAGATTGGCGCCGGCTCATTCGGAGAAATCTTCATGGCCGTGCACAAGAAGACCCGAGAGCCGGTGGCCATTAAAATGGAGCTCTACAAGCCCGGCGTGCCGATCCAACTGCAAACGGAGTGCCAACTCCTCCGCGTCCTCAACAACAGTCCCGGCATTACCAAACTCTTCTGGTTCGGACGCGATGGAGTGCAAAACCTTTACACAGCTCTGGTCATGGAGTATCTGGGCCCAAGTCTGGAGGACCTGCATGTCTACTGCGACTGCAAATTCTCCATCAAAACGGTCGCCATGATTGCGGATCAGATGATAAAACGCATTGAAACGCTGCACAAAAACTGTCTCATCCATCGTGACATTAAGCCGGACAACTTCGTGATGGGCGTCGGCAACAACTTCAACACCGTCTACGTCATTGACTTTGGCCTCTCCAAGTACTACATGGACCCGAAGACCAAAGAGCACAGCATATTTCGAGACTTCCGAAACCTGACCGGCACCGCTCGCTATTGCAGCATCAACGCTCACGCCGGCTACGAGCAGTCGAGGAGAGACGATCTTGAGTCGCTGGGCTATGTTTTCATCTACTTCGTCCGGGGCTCTTTGCCATGGCAGGGCCTGCAGGCCGACAGCAAACGGGAAAAGTTTCGCAAAATCTACAAAACCAAACTGGGCGTCCGAATCGACTCTTTGTGCCAAGGTTTGCCGGAGGAGTTCGCCAAATACCTGCACTATTGCCGAAATCTCGCCTTTGAAGAGGAGCCCAAATACCGCTACCTGAGAAATCTTTTCTGGAGGGTACTGGAGAAACGGAACCTAAAGTACGACTTTCAGTATGACTGGCTGAAAATGTGCTCCACGGAATAACTCGAGCTCTGCTACCAACTCATTGTCGCCAAGGCACAATCGCAGCCTCGGCAAGCAATCGCAATTGGCGAGTCTCTCAGGCCTGCATGCAAGTGCCAGACGGGCGAGTCGTGATGATTACAGCTTTAATTTGTTCTCTTTTCCTGCTCAATTACACATTTCTTTTCTCGTGTCTTTCCACACTACTGCTTCTGCCGGCTGCAGTAGGCCGTCTTGGAGCAGTCGCTGTGATGCAAGCAAACGACAAAAATTTCTCGCTTCTGGCAACCTTTTGAAGTGGACCACTGTAGGGCTGGACTGTCCACCGATCGTCGCTATGGGCCTCGAACGCCCCACAACCGCTGGCGAATGTCGGACCAACACATACCAACGCCCAGACGACAGCGGGTACCAAGCGTCGTGGAGTGTGATATCCACCTGCTCTAAAGGAGGAACAGATTGTCTGTAAGAGAATTGAGTTACTGTGAAATGATTTATGAGCTATGCTCATACTATTTCGTTTAAGGTAATAAGAGGACTTGAGGACATGTTGAATTTCCTCAAAATCACATGAGTTTACAGCTTTACTTCCCAACAGCTATTCTCATCCAGACTGGAGTAAACTGCAGTTGCTATCTTTCCTCAATTCTTCGCATCACCAACTCCATCCGGACACAAATCCGGCTTGTGTTAGTGCAGGGTGTACTGTCGACACGTTAACCACTACGCCATATTGTCACGAGTGTCCTTGAAACACACAGCAGATGTATATTTTAAGCAAAGACATGCATTTTGGCATATCACATTCTATGGTGGGACAGGATGGCCGGCTAAACAAAGTTGTATTTGCTATAGAAATCGACTACACTACTTATTTTCCCCTTGTAGGTAGGCTGTCTGGACTACCACTAAATCCTATATATGAAATAATGATCACCCTGCGAATAAAAGTTGGGTTTCAAGCAATCTCTTGTCTCATTATTGTTGAGCTCACTTCCATTTCGAGTAAAAGTGTTCGTTGAAGAGATTCGAATCTCTCATTAGACTATTAGACTCTAGTAGAATTAAAGATGCATTCCATGACTTGTCGTGATGGCAGGATCTAGTTATCAAAGTTTTAACAGGCAAGGCAGAAGATGTAAACCAAATGGGATAATCTCCTTAACGAGATAAATAAATTGATAAATCAATAGATAGACGGATAGATAGATAAGCAGATGGATAGATAGGTAGATAGATAGAGAAGAGGAGAGAGAATGAAGAGATAAGGAGAGCCCAAAATAGAAAGATAAAAAGTAGAGCAGACAGCATACATGAGTGGTCTGGCCTCTCAGAAAAGAAGAAATTTTTATTTCTTCGCTTGAAGAATCTACTAATACAAAGTTGCCTAATGGTACCAATTGTTTATATACATGCAATTGTATACATACGTATGTATATATACAGTTTGTTAAAAAAAACGCACCACTCTTTTTTGGTCAAAA